TTTCTGAATCCCAGCTAAATCTGATTCTGCCATCGATTGGTTCTTCTTTGGCATGCCCTAAAAATTTTTGCCAGAATCGTAGCTCTGATTACCAATTGTTATAGTTTAGAGTAATAGAAAGGATAAAAGAAGAAGAAATTAGAATGGAGAGATTACAGAAAGGAGATACTTCATTCATTACTTGAGAAATCAATTCTTCTTAGCCATTGTTTTATTTAGTTACAGGGCTATAATTGTAATTTAAAATGTGCCAGTTGTCAGTACTCCATAACAGCTCTAACTAACTCATATTCTCTTCTCTCCTCAGGTTCTGGGCCATCGAACTTGGGCTCATTCCTCTCTTGCTGGACTGCAACTCGGGCGGTCGACTCCCTCTTGACTCCCACGTTTAATCTGCTCCACGTAAGAAGGTAAATATCTCATTCCTTCTTCTTTTACTTTAACCCCTAAATCCCCAATTTCAAATCCCACTCTTCCCTTGATCCCTAATTCTCCTTCATCAAACCCTAACCCTTGACCTCCTCCTCTTATTCATGTTTCATGTGTGGCTAGAGCATCCTGAATATCATCATCTTCATCACCATTTCTCCCATACACCTACAAAAGACATTCATTTCGATTTTGGTATCCAAATTGCTTTGGATCCTTGGACGTTAGTTTCAATGCCCCTTGTTCCCTTAGGAACCCATACTTGTCTAATTTTAAAATGTTTTTTTCTTTAAAGGACAAGTATGTTCCAAATGACCATAAAAATGACAATGTGAGCATTTTTTTCATTTTTAAACATAATAGGATATTTTTAGAAATTAATTCTTTTTCTTTTGTTAAGCCTTCAAGCTTAACTCCTAACTCAAAATTTTCTTTTTCTAAATCATTTATTTTGATTTTTGAAAGCTCTAAATTATTTTTCAAATTTTCATTTTGATTTTCAAAATTAACTTTTGCTTTCGAAATCAAATTATCTTTAATTTTGAGTTTTGAAATTAATTTCGTATATTTAGAATTCATGGTCTCAAATCCCAAATACAACCTATTATAAGCATCTTGTAACTCATCAAAAGTAAATGAATTAAATTCATTTGAGTTAGAAGATACCTCGAATTCTTCTTGAGTGGTCATGAGGCATAGGTTGACTACTTCATCTTCATCATTGGAATCATCTTCATCACTCTGAGATGCAACAAATGCCTTCTTCCCCTTTTTCTTTAGAAGAGGACATTCATACTTGACATGCCCCTTTCTTTGACAATTGAAACATATCGGGGGACTCTTTTTCTTGGTTGATTCATGTTTCACTTCCTTGGAAATCATACATCTCATGAGTTCCTTCAAGAGCTTGACCATCTCTTCCACTTGTTCATCATCGTCTTCATCCACCTCATCACTTGTATCTTGATAGCTTTCATTGGTGGATTTGAAGGCAATGCCTACCTCCTCATTCTTCTTGTTTTTCTTCTATTCCCTTTCTTCATCTTCCTTCACCATTATCTCAAGAGTGAGAAGAGAACCAATTAGCTCATCGAGAGTGAGAGACTTTAAGTTTCTTGCTTCGATAATGGCCATCTTCTTCGATTGCCACTCCTTTGGAAGAGAGTATATCATCTTCCTCACAAGCTTCTCATTAGGGATTACTTCTCCATATCCCTTGAGACTGTTGACAATCACAAAAAATCTATCCGTCATAGCTTTGATGTCTTCATCGGGTTTCATCTTGAAGTTCTCGTAGCTATGGTTGAGAAGACTTTTCTTTGATTCCCTCACTTTGTTGGTTCTTTCATGAGTGACTTGGAGCTTATCCCAAATCTCTTTGGCACTGGAACAATATGAGATTCTTCCATATCCATTTGGGCCTACAACACATAATAGAATATGTATAGCCTTAGAGTTAAGCTGGAAATTTTTCTGCTCTTCTCTACTCCAATCGTTGTACTTGCCAGGTGGAGAAGAGTAACCGTCCATGATTGAGTTCCAAGCTCCTAGATTGTAGGATTGAATAAAGTACATCATCTTATTCTTCCAATGTGCATAATTTTCTCCATTGAAGAAATGTGGCTTGTTGACCGGTTGTGAATCCATAATGGGATATTCTTCAAGATAATAAGAACCGGAGGAAAAAGTCATTTCTTTGTCGGTTGCGTCGGAAATTAGTAGAGCTTCTTTGAGGATCGTCTCAAGGTGGTTAAACCTTCTTAATGAGTTAGGCTCTGATACCAATTATTGGGATTTTAGGAAGCTCGATTCGACAACCGAAACGGTTTGTAAAGAGGGGTCAGAATGGTTTTTGAGTTTAGGGAGTAAGGAGATTGAAAGATAGAAAATTGCACAATGATTTAGAGTGGTTCGACTTTCTAAACCAAAGTCTACGTCCACTACCTTAGCTCCTCACCAAGGAATTTCCAACAAATTCACTAATTTGTTTTTTCTTTTGAGGACAAAGAGATAACCTTACAAATCCCTAGTTTTTCCGGGCTAAACTAGAACCTTTCCCTAGCTTTTACACAGGATAAACTAGAACATTTGCCCTTTACAAAAGGATAAAAGAAGTAAACAAGAAAATCTATCTAAGGTAGGTGTTTACAAGATTGAGCTCACAAGAACAAAATAATTACAAGATAAAGATGAAATAAGAATAAAAAACTCTTCTCTTGTGTTTGATTGCTTGAATAGTTTTTCTCTTAGTTCTTCAAGTGTCCTTAGCTTGTATTTATATCTTGGAAGGTGTTTGATGTTTTATATAGCTTTTGGGGATGTTTTGGAGCCGTTTGAGGATATTTTTCTACTCAAAAATGCTGCCCATAACATGGTGCATCGGTGCACTATCATGGTGCATTGATACCCCTTCATTAAATTCAAATAAACTAGTCGTTACTAGCCGTTGCAGCCTCGTGCATGGATGCACAGTAGGATGCATTGATGCATAGCAGGATGCATCGATGCACTAAGTGTATTCGAAATGGAGTGCATGGATGCACTGCATGGTGCATCGATGCACTAGTGGCAGGTGCATAGATGCACTTTGACACCCTTTAGCATTTTTGCTCAAATCCAAATTTAATGGACTTTGAATTATTTTTGAAACATTTTTAAAACTTTGAATAAATTCAATTCAATTCCAAAAACATTTTGCCTTTAAACTTGTTATATCGAAACATAATTTAACAAATAACATTGACGTTATGGCATTCATCCAAGTGTTATTGCACAATAATATCAATAATGTCAATAGAGTGGCACTCAACATTATCATCATCATATGAAACATTAAAGGTAATATGTTCATCGTTTAAATACATGGCAAGTTCTTCTTTTTTCACATCAATTAAAGCTCAGCCAGTGGCAAAAAAGGGTCGGCCAAGTATAATTGGTACATATTTGTCGACTTCACAATCCAATATGATGAAGTCATTAGGAAAAATAAACTTGTCCACTCAAACTAGAAATTTTCCATAATGCCATTAGGATAGACGGTTGAATGATCGACAAGTTGTAAAGTGATAGTGGTGGCCTTACTTCTCTACTTCCAAATTTCCTAAAAATTGACGAAGGCATGAGGTTAATACTAGCACCTAAATCACATAATGCTTTACCTATAAATGTATCTCCAATAATACAACGGATAATGAAACATTCTAGATACTTGAGCTTAGATGGCAATCAAATTATAGCCATATCACTACATCCCTCAGTGAGTGCAACAATTTCAAATTCTCCAAGTCTTCTTTTCTTTGAAAGTACTTTTCTCATAAGCTTAATGTAGTTTGGGTTTTGCTCCAAGGTATCAATCAACAAAATATTGATTATTAATTATTTAAGCACATCTATGAATGGTTTAAACTACTGGTCCTCCTTGGTCTTCTTGAATCTTTGGGGAAACGGCGGTGGAGGTCTTGAATTCTATTGTATTGGCAATTCTGGTAACATTATAAGCAGTGCTATCGACATTATTGAAGTTGCCTAGAATTACTACACTGTTTTGTCACTCTTGTTGTAACATTAACAATCGGTTCAAGGTCCACTTTCGTTTCTTTACCTTTATCTTATTATCCAAGCCCATCATCATCATTCTTCTTTGGCTCCTCAGTAGGCTTCCCAATATGGAGACTGCTTCTCGTAGTGATGATTTTACAATGTTCGTTGCAGTGGGCTTTCCCATGTGGATTTGGATTCTTGGTGTCACTAGGCAGTGTTTCTTGTATCCTACTGCTCACAACATTCACTAATTGCCCCACTTGATTTTCCAATGCCCTCAGGGATGCTAATTGACTTTGAATCAAAGCTTCATTCCTTGCTTCATTTCTTGCGATATACTCCTTCAATAAAGAATCAAGTGATGTCGATCTTGAAGCTTGGTTAGAACTCTGCCCTTGATAACCTTGCTGGTTGTTGTATTGTTGTTGAGGTATTGTTTGATGATGTGTCTGCTAATGTTCTAGCATCAGTTATTGATGAGTATATTGTTACTATGAGTAACGCTGTTGTGTATTTCCAAAATTTAATTGTAATACCATATTAGGGTTGGCTATATTTTGACTCTTCCAAGACAAGTTGGGATGATTTCAAAAGTTCGGATTGTAGGTGTTCCCATAAGCATTTTCCTTGTCAATCTTGTTGTAATTTCTAAAAAATACATAAACTCGGGGTTTTGTGAACATTTGTCAAAATTATAGTTATCACCGTAATGAACATAATTGATAAGAGATATAACTTTTACCTTATACATGCCTCCATGCTTTTGCATGTTCTTCATCATTTCAGTCAATGTTGTCACCTGTTTGGTCAGTGTGTTCTGAGCATCATTATCCACAACTACAACAATGTGTATGCCGAACATGCTCCTCGTGTTGGGATACTGATAATCATTGTTTGATATTCTTTCCAAAATATCATAAGCCTCGTTATATGTCTTATCTAATAATGCACCATTTGTTGAAGCATCAACGACCATTCGAGTGTTCATGTTCAATCCATTATAGAACATTTCCATTTGAGTGGAATATGAAAATCCATGCATTGGGCATTTGCGTAGAAAGTCCTTGAAACGATCCCAAGCTTCATATAGGTTCTCATCCTCTAATTACTTGAATGATGTGAGACCTTTCCTCAACTTGGCATTCATGTTGGGTGGATTGAAACACAATAAGAATTTTGGTGCTAACTCATTCCATGATGCGAGGACCAGGCATGAGTTAAGCCATTCTCTAGCTTTATCACAGAGCGAATAGGGAAACAACTTTAGCTTCAAGGCTTTGTCAGGTACTCCTTGTTGTATAAACGAGTCACACACCACTATGAATGCTCTAAGGTGTGCTCTATAGTCTTCAACAAATTAACCACTATACTGGCCCATTAACTGCAGCATCTGAAACATCATCAGCTTTAGCTACTCCTCACGTGTATTGCTGGCATACAATGCTAGGATGTAAATCATCGAGTGTGGAACCACGTGTTCCCGAATAGGACGATTTCAATCATCCATGTTGTAATAATGCCATTAGTTAACTCTATTACTAGGCGATAATCTACCCTCACCATTTGGCACCGGTGGGAAAGTGTTGTTACAATCACCATGATGGGCCATGTTTGCTTGATTACGGGTTGCTTGTCTACATTGTTCTCGTAATGTATGTTCAATTTCTGAATCAAAAGGCTCTAGATCTTGATTGTTACTATGGATCATAAACCAACAACACTATACTAAAAAATATACATACAAAAAGAAAATAAACAAAGTTAATAAAAAAAGAAACAACTCTAAAGTAAAATAATTGTTCCCCTACAACGACGCCAAAAATTTGATACTATCATAATGCTACAACAAAGTGCAAGCATACACTATCGTTTTCAAGTAATAAAGTGGAAGCTATAAAAACTTCATATGTTGAACACACAGTGTGTAAAACAAATTACAATAGAGTTGTGTAAAAGATTCCAAAGGTTGTATAGTTGAATGATGGAATAAGAAACAGACAACAAAGTATAGAAACCAGAATGGTAAAGATTGGATAGTGCTATAACATTCGAGGGAGCAACAAATCAAAGATTTAATGGATGCGAGGGTTATTTAACAATTCCCACTATGGATATGCTTTAAACAGTGCATTCATATGTCTCACAATGATTAATACCATTCAATTAACAAGAATCAACCTTCATTAATTCAATTTAATCAAATAATTAACAATACTTGACAATTGACATCATATATTTCTATTTACTAACTTTTTTTTTTCACAAGCACCAACGTTGAATAAATATAGAATGAAAAATATCACCAACTTTTATTTCTAAAAACTATAGAAATCACATACATAGAGATAGATTTATTTCTAAAATCTTCCCATAAGAATCCCAATACATAAAAACAAAGTTTAAACATGAAACATAGCAAGAGACATTTAATCAAACACCTTACGTTCAAAAACCAAATAACATCCAGAATTATAGAACTATTCAACTCAATAATCGTCACTTCCCTATCTCAACAAAGGGACAAAAATAAAGTAGAATTCCACTTGATCTCCACTGCTACACAGCTGTGCCCCCACTACTATTGCACTCTCTGATGAATTATTTAGGCGGCCATAGATGGTAGGAGAGAAAACAAAAGGTGAATAGGGTTTTTTTTGACCCCTTAAGTTTATAAAAAATAATATATTTATAACCCAATCAAATTCAAACTTTCCATCAATAGAAAAATCCCTCCCCCCCCCCCCAAAAGTCCTTTTTTAAATTCAAATTCCAGCCTTTTATCCCACATCTTTATCACTTCCTAAAATTTCTCTAACCGCCTTGTGACTCAGCAGTTGCAATAGAATTGTCTCCGGAATCCATTCCAGCATCGGCATACAGCAAAAACTACAACATTAACAATGTTACATCATCAATATATCAATTTGCAACAAAAACATCAAAATCAGCCCAAGTACCAATAATGCACTCCTAATAAGAAAATGTTGTAAATTATACTAAAATAAATATAAATATGATCCTAAAAATGCTAGAGTGCAAACTTAACCTAAGTAAAAATGATATAAAATATAACTCTTTTCGAGAGTTATAAACTTTACATTCAAAGAAGAAGCAATGATTGTAATTAAGAATTACAATATTTGTAATTCAATTCACTCCAGAGTCAATTGATCCAAAAAAAGTATGTTTGCTACTATGTCCAACGTGATAATAGATACAACATGATGGTTTGTGTACCAAAAAGGAAGAGGAAGAACAAAATATAAGAATTAACAAGATACAATGGTCCTCACACATGTTGTGCAAGAGGGATCAACAATAACCACCCTAACTTGGATTCTAATATTATTTGCCAAGCCATCATGCCTATGGTCAAAGCGAGCTCTCAAATAACTATTATAGTGCAGATTTTTTCAATACAATCACAATATGGGTACACCGTCTCCTATAGAAAAGCATAGAAAGAAAAATAGAATGTCATTATAAATCTTCACGGTGAGTGGGATAGTTTTTACAATGAGCTACCTAGTTCGTTTAACATAATGTAAAGACTCAATAGAGGGAAAATATTTGAGTTCGAAACTCGCTATCATAAAAGAATGACAGATTCATTTGGGATAGATAAATGTCAATTTTATCATTTTTTTGGATTTACCCATAATGCATTAATACGGCGAAATATTACAAATCGATGGTCGAAATTGATGGTACATTTTTATGGAAAATACAAACAAGTTTATTATTGGCAGTTGTCTAATACGGTAACCATAACATTCTTCCTATTGCACTTTCCCTTGTTGAAGGAGAAGATACAGAGTCTTGGGTTTTTTCCTCAAAATTTATGCTTACATGTTGCCACGATGGATGGTATATTTATCATTTCATACCGCGGAGTTAGGATCGATGCAGCAATGGACTCTTTGGGTAGAATATATAAACCCCCACATGTCCAACACCATTACTATATCCAACATATTGTTGCAAACTACCATAGAAATTTTAAGAAGATTGATGAACGTCAATTATTTATACGCATTGGTATATTAATTTTTTCAATTTAATTTCTTAATCATTTTCATTATGTTTATTTCTACTTAATACTAACTAGTACATATGGCTTAGGTTACAAACTCTTACATCAAAGGTTTGATTTATGCTTCAAGAGTTACAAGGCAAAAATGATCAAACATAAAATTACATCAAAACCATCAAAAAATAAATATGAAAAAATTCATACGATGAGTGATATTGATATGGTCATATGACAACAAACTTGGCTAAGGTTATCAATTTAACTTTAAAGGGGTGCCCCATTTACTTTTAAATGTTTTGGTTAAAATGACGTACTTTTGTTTAGGTAAGCTTTTCTCGAAACTCGGGGGACAAGCTCTTACTTGGATATAAATCAACCAGTTTATCACCCAAGATTAATATCAAATCTACATGAAAAAAAATCTACAGGAAAAAAATCACAGCATCAAATGGAATGTTGGTAACAAAATTTTCTCATACCCATGAATTATTTCGTTTGACAGAAATACCACGACCTCTTCAAGGGATTGAATCTAACTCTTTCAGAGTTAATCTGCAAGAAAGTTGGTGTGATTGTGGCTTTTTTCAAGCTCTAAAGTTCCATGCTCCCATTTCGTAGCAGCCTGCTCACATTCCCATGTGGACTATAAAAGTTATGTTGATCCTGTTAAGTTATGTTGATCCCGTCTACCATCTTTCTCAAGTATTCAAGTTATATGAATTTTAGTTTCCGCATAGGTTATGAAAAAGACCTAAATGAGATTCAACTAGGCTTATAATTATACCAAACATGTTTTAATTAAGGGAACCAGGTTGTCCAAAATCCACTCGAATTCATTGTGATTGGATATTTGATAGACATCAAAAGAACCTAAAAGATGTAGTCATTATAGAAACCGAGGCCATAATGGGAAAAGTTGTCCATCTCTTTTATCATTTCTCAACTGTGGACCATAATTATGTAATTGTAATTTATGATATTAGAATTTATGTTATTTTAGTTTCTATTATTGTATTTTCTAGTCTTTTATTATATGTGATTTTGTCTTGTATTTTATCATATAAATATTAATGATTTTATTTTATTTTAATTACAATTTACATTCTACGATTTATGTTAATATTTTAGAGGTTATGGCTTTATAAATTATGGTTCTCGTTTTAAGGTTGCACAATCAGAATTTAAGGTTTAAATTTTAAGGTTAATGATTTAGGGTTTATGGAAATGTTTATGATTAAATTAATGATTTATAGGGTTTAATGTTTATAATTTAATATTTTAGGGATTTGTTAAAACCCTAAACTACTTTTCAATATAAGGTTTATAAGATGATTATGGTTTAGGGTTTCCTATTTAAAAACCCTAATATGTTATTCAAAACCTTAACCCTAAAACTAGAAACCGCATAGGACACGCCTCCCAACCAACTTGTCACATCATCTAGAACCACTAAAAAGCTCTCCCTGTAGGATACACTTTATGGCCATGTCGGTAAGGCATGATTAATGAAACACGCCTCTTTATTAAAATGTCAGAACGGGTGTTAGTTTAATAAATAATAGGGAAAGTGTGTTACTGTGGTATCTTTTGGATGATTTTTGGATAAAATTACCTAATTTGGACACTTATTTTTATATTAGGCCAAAATAAAATTGAAACAAGTGGTGAAGTTAATGTGAAAATGTTACAGATTTATAAATATTTTTGAGAGCATGTAAAAATATGAATAACACAATTTTATTATACGAAGTGGGTATGTAACACCCATAACCCATATAATTATACCTATACAGATTATAGATGCCACCCGAATTTTTAAAAACCATTTTACAATTTGAAAGCAATTTAAAATTTATTTTTTTAAAATGATAAATGATATTATAAAAATTTCATATCATATAAATAATGTTTCGTTGTACCCAATTTAATTCAAAAGATTTTTTTTATGAATAGTGAACAGTATCCGTGAACACTTATGAACAGTAGGGGAATCGGTTCCCTGTTAGGGGAATCGGTTCCCTGTTAGGGGAATCGGTACCCCAAATGCATTCTAAAAAATTTTGCTTAAAACCGTGGTTACTATTCATGCTACAGTAACTTCCGAA